CTATCCTTTAGTTCCCTGTCCATTACTGATTTCCGTAATAGCCTTTTTCCAAGTAAGGACTGCACCATGTTCTGAGAAGGGGACATCTCATGACAGAGTAGCACATTTCTTCTTATTACGTTTCAGGTGAAAAAGAAAATTTGAGCGTCTTGTGTCTTTTACCTTACCAACCCGCCTTCTCTTGTTATTAAAATGTTCTAATTTTATAGGGCCGAAGAAGGTTTTTTTTTAATGAAGGAAGAAAGAGAGTAACAATAATTTCACAGAATATTTAATTTGCTTGATTTTTACAAATTATTTTCCCTGTAATTACATCTTTTTCTTGGTTCTTAACAGAGCGAAGACTCGGCCAGTACCAGGAAGACAGAACCACAGACTCTCTTCTTTCTTCTATAGTACTTGACTGTTATCTGTCCTGTGTATTTTTTGCTCCATTTCTGCGTGATTTCTACTACATCACCTCCTGAAGGTGACTTTTAAGTTTGCCTTAAAAAAACGAAGTCCATGTGACATTTTTGTTACTTCACAGGTTTGGGTATTTCAAGGGTGTTTTTCAGAATATTTTTCCCTGACCACCATGCCTGCGATGTGAGAAAACTGCCATGTAGATGTTGGTTGATGGCTTGGCTTCGTTTATGAGTTATTTATTGAGATACTCATTTACTCACCCTGTACTGCCCTTTCTGAGATCAGGGGCCACCCCTTATTCATCTTGCTGGGAGCATAGAGCCTGGCACTCAGAAAGTACCCAGTAGGGAGAAAAGATGAATGAAAGAATAGACTGAGCAGCTGGAATCTGTTGTATTCAGAAGGTTGTTAGAGAGATGCTATTGGGATATGTGTGTGTGTGTGTGTGGGGGGGTCTCTTTACTTGCTGCTGCTGAGGGGTCTTTCAAACGTTGTGAGAAACCTTCACAAGAAACCAGCAGTCCTATTGGGGTGATAGAGCAGTGCTCTATACTGTGCGGAAAGGATTTGCGATTTAGGTGAATCCAAAATGGAATCTTTGAGTATTAAAACAGATTCTATATTTTGTTGCGCCTTTTTAAAGTGAGGAAGTGTGGAAGTCATCTTGGATGATGACTTTATCTGGACTTTATCATGGCTTTATCTGGACCATGAAGGACGAGGAACATTTACGAGTAGGTGGAGAACATTAGTGAAAGTATTCCTGATAGTGCAAAAGTTGAAGGGAACCTATACGTGTGAAGGACACCTTGAAGAGGGGAAGGAAGTGAGTTTTTAAAATGGCGCTGACAGACTTGAACAGACCTATCTCTAAAGATACTCATGAATGGCCTGTAACCACATGCAAAGGTTCTCAGTATCACTACTCATTAGGAAAATACAAATCAAAACCAAAAAGAGATACCACTTCACACCTGTTAGAAAGGCTATTATAAAACAAACAAACCTACTAAACAGAAAATAGCAGATGTTGACAAGGATATGGAGAGCTTAGAACCCATGTGCACGGTTTGTGGCAACCTTAGAAATTGGTATGTTGAGTCCTAAAACAATTCAATATATAGAAATAAATGTATACCTCCAAAAAGTTGAAAGCTCTGCCTCAGAATAGGTGTTGGTACGCCCGTGTTCACAGCAGCGTTACTCACAATAACTGAAAGGTGAAGGAACCCAAGTGTCTATCAAGAGACAAATGGATAGGGGCACCTGGGTGGCTTAGTCGGTTGAGCGTCCGACTTTCGCTTGGGTCATGATCTCGCGGTTCGTGGGTTCGAGCCCCGCGTCGGGCTCTGTGCTGACTGCCAGCTCAGAGCCTGGAGCCTGTTTCGGAGTCTGTAACTCCCTCTCTCTCTGACCCTCCCCTGCTCATGCTGTCTCTCTCCTAGAAATAAATAAAACATTAAAAAAAAAAAAAAAAAGAGACAAATGGATAAAAGAAAATGTGGTCTGTACATACAATGGAATATTATCCAGCTTTCAAAAGAAAGTTCTGGGGAGTCTGTGTGGCTCATTCGGTTGAATGTCCTACTCTGGATTTCATCTCAGGTCACGATCCCAGGGTCATGGGATCGAGTCCCATGTTGGGCTCCACTCTGAGAGTGGAACCTGCTTCTCTCTGTCTCTCTCTGTCTCTGTCTCTGTCTCTCTTCTCTCTTCTCTCTTTTCTCTCTCTCTCTCTCCCTTCCCCGAATCCTTTTCTCCTTCCCCCATCTGCTCACATGTATTTTCTCTCTAAAAGAAAAACAGGCTACGACATGGATGATCCTTGAAGACATTCAGCTGAGCAAAATAAACCAGTCACAAAAGGACAGAAACTGATTCTTTTTATGTGAGGCTCCAAGAGCCATCAAATTCATAGAGGCAGAAAGAGAATGGCGGCTGTCCAGGGCAGGGGAGGGGAGCAGGGACTTGGCGTGTCACAACGGGGTTTCAGTTTGGGAAAATGAAGAAGTTCTGGATATGGGTGGATCGTGGTGATGGTTGTATAGCCGTGTGAATGTCCTTAATGCCACACATCTGTACATTTGTAAGTGGTTAAAATGGTATATTTTACTACATATATCTTACCATGATACAAAATGGGGGGAAAACAAGAAAAAGAAATAGTGCTGAAATCCATTTCCCATTTCTTCCCATTTTAAGCCGTGTTGCCGCAGGGTGTCCAATGGTGGGGTTGCGGAGGGAGAAGGGAACTTGTTTAATGAGTGTCCGTTTCTTCTGCTACCACATTTTCTCCCCGAATCTTCGCTGGAGTCTGAGATGGGCATTCAGTGTTGTCCCCGCGTCGCCGTGGAGAAACGGGCTGGGAATGGTGGGTGGCACCCAAGACCTGATGGACCCAGTGCGGCCGCCTCCAGGCTGGCGCCCCTCCTCATACCGTGCTGCTCACCCACTTCTGGAGTTTCATTCAGCTGCCCTTCTCACGGCCAAGTCCTTCTCCCCCTCCGGATGCCCTTTCGATGACAACATGTACATGCAGGTTGTTTATTTTCAAAGTCTGTCTCTGGGGTTGCCTCTCCGTTGGAGACAAGAAACAGGTCAAGGAAAGCAGTCACTAACGGCTAAACACGGTGTCTGGCCAGGAAGCTTGGTGGAAGCCAGACTCCTGAACAGAGAGGACGGCAGGCCCCTCCTTCATCCTTTGGGGGGCGTGGCTTTGCGGTGCTCTCACCAGGTGAGAAGACACTCCTGTCCCCATTGGGCACATGGCGCCGGCGCCACTCCGGTTTCTGTGCCCTGGTGGTGTGCTCGGGCTTGCACTTGCGTCCTCACCGATTAGCCGAGGGCCAGCTGTGCGTACTTTCTCCGACCCCTTTTCACATGGCTTGGCTGCAGCGGTGGGCATTCCGGCCTTTCTTCCTGCAGGTCTGCCTCCCTGGGATTCCCATGACACCAGCCTTCTGTTGCTCGTTGCTTGTGCTTTTGGGGTCCTACCTGCGACACCACAGCATCATCCAAGGTCATGGATATCTGCTTCTGTTTCCTTCTGAGGGCTTGATCAGCAAGCTTTTCATGTCAAGAACCATACAGTAAATACCTCACTTCTGCCGGCCACAAATGGATACCTTCATATGTTCTTTGTTTTTCTTTGTTGTTGTTTTAGAACCTTCTGACTTTGTAAAAACTGCCCTCGGGGCGTACAGAACCAGGCTGCGGGTCATAGTTTGCTGGGGCCCGTGCTGGGACTTTACTGTGGAAGTTTGAGTCATTGGAGTAAGGAGTGGAGCTGGGTTTGAGATTTCCTGTTGCTATATTTACTTGGGTACGCCATAGACTCCAAAATTCCTCTGCCGTTGTCATATGCTGGGGGGCAGGGCAGAGGGAGGGGACTGGGGGCGCACCAGGAGGTTTTCCCAGAGTAGGCTTCCTCCATCCCATCCCTTCCTGCACCACCAGGGCTGGGCTTCCCATACTTGTTCCTTCCCCACTGGCTCTGGGGGCAGGAGCACATGGGGCCTCTCTGCTGTCTTTGTCCTGTGCTGAGCGTCTGGGGCTGATGAGCTGGGCTCCCTAGGCCTCCCTGCTCCCACGCAGCGGCCTTCTCTGCCCAGCACGTGGTAGGCATTGTGCATGAGTGGAGTTTCCAGCTCTGATAGCATTGGCTGGGGACCACCTCTTGCCCTTCCCCCTACTAGAATGGGTGTTTATCCCTGCCGTTGTGCCCTTGGCATTGGGTGTCCCTCCTCCAGAAGCTTAGGATGTTGCTTCAGAGTAGAGAAGGGTCTACATGGGGATGGGGAATGGGGGATGGGGTGTGGGGTTGGGGCTGGGGTTTTTGTTTCTTACCTTTTCTTTGGTGGCTGCTGACTCCCATCCTCCATGTCTGTGCTCCCGAGGGAGGCTACCTCTGCTCCTTCCACTGTGCCCCACCCCCAGTCCTCTGTGTGTATCGAGAGGGTCCATGGTGTAGAGCCTAGAGTGGGTGGGAACTACCTTTTAGTCTGGGTTCCCCAGGGGTCTCTGCTATTATTAGAGCTCCTACTCAGCCTTTAGCAATTCATTAACCTTTGGGCTAATTCCTTCCTGCTGGCTTGTGTGGTGGCTGGCTCTGTACTTGTTGAGAAGGTGTCCCTACCCTTTACCTTCCGGAAGGGCCTTGTACCTCCTTGGCCTCCTGGCTCCATGGTTGCCCTGTGGCCTCATCTCTTGATGGGTTCAAGAAGTGTCAGGAGTTTGTAGCTGGTCAGCCTTCCTGACTGTTGGGCCGGGAGCCATGCTCTACCTCCCGGATGGAAGTGCCGCCTCCCCCCAACCCCTCGTCCGTATGTTGAAGTGATGCCGACTGAAATGTGCTTCTCTCGCAGATATGCTCTAGGAGCCACAGAATAATTTTGGGGCCTTTTTCCATTTGCATACCTGGGCTGGGAGTTGTTGGTGCAGGCACAGGGCATCACAGAAGAGACGGTGCAGGGGCCAGGTTTCCGAGTCGCCCGGTAGGGATTGTCGTCACTCTTACCTAAGTGAAGCCTGCCTTCTGGAAGGAAGCTCGTCAACTTAGTGATTATTGACATACCATGTTTACCTCATTTTAGACCCTGGAAGCCATCCTGAATTTCAAATACTCTGGAGGCCCGGGCCACGTTGAAGGATATTACAGGAACCTCTCCCTGGGGCTGCACGTGGAAGCCGAGCCATCCGTGTTCTTCACCCGAGTCACTACTCTGCCGGCGACCAGGTAAGAGGCTCTCTGCTCTGTGATTGCCCTGTTCTGGAGTCTGGCAGCACTGCATCTGGAATTCTGACCTCGGGATTCATCTTGGTCCCCCCTCTCATCAGATCCACACCATTGTGCCAAGTTACATAGCCTCCCTGGGACTTAGGTTTCTGCAGCGGAAAAACAGACATTATACAGAAGTGCCTTTTCCTTTAGTTGTGGTGGACGGGCTTGACGCCTTGTAACGTAGTACAGTGATAACTTTAATGTTGCAACACGCTCGCTTGTGGTTGTCATTGTACAGGACACGTTTCCCACTCATTGCCCTGAGGCTGGTCCTGGCTTCAGTCTGATTCACTCTCCTGCTAGTAGGGAGTCAGCAGATAGCCACATGTCCTGGGCACTACCAGAGGAGTCCACCTCTCTTCCTGTGTCACGTCTGGCACCCCTCACAACTGTGTGTGCAGACCCAGGCTGTCCAGCATCTAGCCACCTCCCTGTTCATGAAGCTCCCAGCCATCTGGAGCGCTGGGCTGTTTCTGCCCAGGGCACCTTCTTTGCACAGAAAGTTTTCCTCCACTTCTCCAGGCCTAGCCTTCCGTCAGAGGGGAAGAAATCAGACAGTGTGTCTATGTCAAACTCAGAAGTGGCCAGAGGTCCTAGAGATATTTTTCTCTGAGGTGGGAGAATGATAACATCCCATCTAAAACTTTGAGGGTGGGCTAGGAGTGGTGGGTTTTGAAAGTGGTGGGGGGTATTCTGACCAGCTGGAGATGCTCTTCTCAGATTCTCACTCCAGGGGCCGGCGGCCTGTGGGGAGCAGGTGCACTCACCACTGAGTACTTCATATTTTCATGTCCGGTGGTGCCTTACAAGTTGAGGTAGGATGCGGTGGGATAGTATGATTTAATCTTTTTTTTTTTTAAGTTGATTTGTTTTGAGAGAGAATACAAGTGGGGGAGGGCAGAGAGAGAGGAAGGGAGAGAATCTCAAGCAGGCTTTGTGCTGTCAGTGTGGAGCCCGATGTGGGGCTGGAACCCACCTATTAGATCATGACCTGAGCTGAAGTCAAGAGTCAGACGCTTAACCGACTGAGCCACCCAGGCGCCCCTAGTATTATTTATTCCTGATGGAGTGAAGATGGCACTGATAACAGCCACCTTTGTAGCCTTGAACTGGGGAAAGAACGTTACAGGCAGCAGCCCCCTCCCCTCCACCAGTGGGTTCTGTGTTCCCCAGGGTGAAATAGAGAGATATTGTTGCCCATGTTGATGTTGATAGAAAACTCCCTTTAAAGTGATACAGCCCCAAATAATAAGTGTAGTTTTGGTTTGTAGGAAAGATCACTTTTCTTCGCAGCCATTGGAGAATGGCTCCACAAGAATTAATGGCTTAGCTTGGGCTTTTTAGCATCGCATTTTATCATCTGTCACTTTTTCAGTCCATGGAGTAATAGTCTTTCTTGCCAAGGCTTGCCTCTGTTTTGCATTTGTTGTATAAGGCATCAAAGCACTTGCCCCCGGGGAGGCTGTGGCCAGGATTGCTGCCAGAAGCTGTGAGAGTGTTTCAGACCCTTCCTGTGCATTAGGGCTGCTCTGTGATGTACCTGCTGTGTTTCTTTCTCATCCTTGAATCGCCTGCTGCCACTGCTCATATAAATAGTTCTTAGAAACAGCACAGGTTGTCACTGAGTTGGATTTTCTCCCCTCGTCTTGATACCTGGCTTCCCCGTCATGGCCCCTGCAGCTCTTAATGACAATTTAAGATGACAAAAATGCTGCCATGCAGAAAGGAGCAAACACACTTGCAAAAGTCAGTGGTTGGCTCAAGTGCTCTTCGGCTCCCAATTACGCCACCTGTTGACTCTACTCTCTTTCTTGCCGGCCTACTTGGTCTTTTTTTTGCTCTTGGGATTGAGACTGGATTTCTCCTAACCCTCCTTTTCCATTCCCGCTAAGTCTAATCCTCCCCAGATCCTGTGGATTGAATCTCTGAGATGTCATCTGACCCCGCTCTGCATTCCACTGCACATCTTGGTTACCTTTCCTCGAGACTCTAGGAGTAGTTGCCTGTGTGGTCCCCTACCTCCAGGTTTGATCCTTCGTCATCCTGTAAATACAGATGTTCCCATGTCGGGTGGAAGACATTCCCAGTACTTAGGAGATCAAGTTCTCAGTCCCTACTGTTATATTCAGGGCACTTAAAAATTTGACCCAGACCTTTGCCTTTAACTCCGTTTGCCCCCACTTCCTCCACACATCAAGAAGACACTTTGTGTCTCACCATTACTAGGTATATCAAGACCATTTCCTGCAACGTGCCTTTGCATACATTTCTAAAACTCTTCTTAAACTGTCATTCTTTCACTTACCCATTTGGGAAACGTTTGTTGGCCATTGATGATCTACTATGTCACCATTTTTGTAAAATTTTCCTGAACGTGACTAGATAGCGTTGCTTGGTCCTTCTGTGAGCCTTTGTACTTTGAGTAAAGTACTAAGTAAAGTACTTACTTAAAGTAAGCCTTTCAACAAGCACCTTGAATGTTTCATTTATTCTTTAAATAACCAGTGTTTCGTATTTTAGTGCAATAAAAGATGGATACAGCCCGTCCTTGTGTTTCATCAGCCTGATAAAAGCTAATCAGGCAGAAATAATATCAAATGGAAACATGGGTCTATATTAGGGAATGTTGAATCCCAGAAATAGACATAGCAAGTGAATAAACAGAAAAGATTCTTCCCCTTGCTTCTTAATTTCTTTGAAAGATTATTGACTATTTAAAGAAAAGATAAGAGCATTTAATTTTGTAGTGCATGTCATATAGAGAAGTAAACTATGTAACAAAAAATAGCACAAAGCAATGGAAGGGAGATGTAGGAGAGGAGGATGGCAGTTTTTATGTACTACTGTTATGATATTGTTTGAAGTTAGAATGTGGTAAGTTAAAGATGCATATTGAAAACCCTTTAGCAACCACTTAAAATATGGATAGTAAGCCAGAAGAAAGAAAATGAGTTGCTAGAAAATGCTAAATCTGTAAAGGGGGGAAGAGGTAGCAAGAAAGGAGAAAAGAACTAGAATCATACAGTCTAATAGCAATGTGGTAGACTTAAATCCAATGCACCAAGAGTTATATTAAATGTAAATGGACTAAAGACTCTATTTAAAAGTGCAAGTTGTCAGACTATAGTAAAAATAAAACAAAACAAAAATAAAACTAGAGACAACTACATGTTTTCTACCAGAAACTCACAATTATAATGATGCACAATGTAAAAGTACAAATATGGGGAGAAGATATGCCATGCAGACACTAATCATGAGAAAGTTGGTGTGGATATATTAATATCAAACAAGTAGACTCTGAGGAGAAAAGGGTAGGATAATCTTAATGATAGAAAGATCAAGTCATCAAGAGTACATAAAAAGCATAAATGCAAATGTACCTAAAAAATAACTTCAATATAAAACTGGCATCTTGAGGAGAAATGTAAAATGCCACAGTTACAGTTGGGTATTTCAACATTTGCATCTCCATATTTGATAGGCAAGCAGACAGAAAATTAGTATAACTTAGGAAACATGTACAGTTGTAGTAAATAATTCCAGCTAACTGATATTTATAGGACACTAAATGCTTATGTTAGAAAAGTTGAAGGGTTCAAAAAAATAATGAAGAGTACTTACCAATGAAATAGAAAAAATAATATGTAAAGTAAATGGAACCAAAAGTTGATTTTTTTAAAAAAAATTTTAATGGTATTTTTCCCCCCTTCCCTCTGAGAGAGACAGCGTGAGAGGGACACACAGAATCTGAAACAGGCTCCAGGCTCTGAGCTAGCTGTCAGCACAGAGCCTAATGCAGGACTTGAACCCATGAACCGTGAGATCGTGAACTGAGCCGAGTTGGACACTTAACCAACTGAGGCACCCACGTGCCCCTAAAAGTTGATTATTTGAAAGGATTGATAAAATTAATAAACTATAGCCAGAATGATCAGAATGTAAAAGAGAAAGCACAAATTACTAATACTGTGAATGATTCACTATAAATTCTGTACACGTTAAAAGAATAAAAGTATATTATGATAGATCATATTTGGATAAATTTTACAAATGAAAATTGTTTTGAAAGACAAAAATTACTGAAGTTAACACAATAAGAAATAAGTCCCTGAAATAGTCACGTTAAATTCTTAATTAAATACTCCCCTTAAAGCAGACTTTAGGCTAAGATGGCTTCATTGTGTAATACATCAAACTTTTAAGAAAAAATAATACCACTTTTACAAAAATTCTTCCAGAAGTAGACAAGGTAGGGAATACTTCCAGTCCCTATTTTATGACACTATCTTCACCCTGATACCAATCCCAGGAAGAGACATTATGAGAAAGTAAATGTTGTGATCAGTGTCCTTATATGCATAATTCTAAAAATTCAGAACCAAATACTAATAAATTCACCCCAGCAATATAAAAGAGATAACACAACATGCACAGTTCGGGTTTCACCCAGCAACACAAGGTTGTTGAAAAATCAGTTTGCACATTTACTAACAAAATAAAGGAGAAAAATAAGATGTCAGTTGATGAAAAAAGTCATCTGACAGAATTCAACACATGTGATATAAACTGTCCATGAACAAGGCTTGGAAGAGAACTTCTGCAACCTGACTAGAGCATTTAAAAAACCCTAAAACGATGTAGTTAACATTATACTTAATTGGAAAAGACTGAGGTCTTTTTCTGAGATCAGGACTAGTCAGGGCAAGTATGTTTGCTCTTGCAGTACGTTCATTACTTTTCTGCCATTTCTACCTAATCAGGGCAATGAGATGAGAAACGAATTAAAGCTATAAAAATTGGAAACAAAGTACAGTTATTAACCACATGTGTTTGCATGATACATGGGATTGTGTACGTAAATATCCTAAGAGATCTACCACCCCAAAGAAATGATCAGAACTAGTAACTTAGCAAGATTGCAGGATGATACCATATTATATTCAGAAATCAAT